GAAGAGCNGAACAGAGGAAGGTTACGGGAGAAAGGGAGGTAGACAATGTAATTAATGAAAAATAAAAGGGGTATTGTTGTCCAAAAAAAAAAAAATTTGTGTCCCACGGGATGGAAAAACCTGTTCCAGGGGGGGAGGGGGAACCAAAATCTGACCCTTTTTTCGTTCCGTGGGACGCGCGCCACACAATTTTAAGGCACCAAACGTGGGACTGAACGGTTCCGTCCCACTCTGTTCCGTCCCATCCCACGTACCAAACGCACCCTAAGTGTCTTTTTTAAAAAAAAAAAAAAACCAACTCCATATGAGCCCTAATTTATCATCGGCAATACATTGTATCACTTTTATCATCAATACGCTTCATTATCCGGCGAGGATCGTTTTTTTCCATTTTTATGATGGTTTTTTGTCAATGCGTACCAGCATTTCTTTGATGGTATTTATTTTTCAAAAGTGTTTTGAATATTTCTTTGATTGTTTTTTTCAAAGTGTTTAGTATTTGTTTAAAACTTCAATCAAGGCACTAATTCGCATGAAGAGTAGTTAATCATGTGTTAATTAATTCTTATTGATTTGAGATGAAGCAGGCACTGTCCAGATATTCAATGTACCAAGAAGATCTATGTCTTGGAGGCTCCCAGCCAATTAAAAATGTTCTTATGAGATATAACTAGGTACCATGTTTGACCAAAAAAAGTTAAAAGTTCTTTTGAATTAAAAATATATATATATATATATATATATTTAGACAATTTTTTTTCTAGAAAGCACTTTTTTTTTTTATTAAAACTTTCCATTTATTCCTAATAGAAGCGTTTTTACATGAACTACTTCTGAGCATAAGTGTTTTAAGAAAAAACAACTCGAGCCTTAAATTATCATCGGCAATACATTTTGTCACTTTTATCAATACGCTTCATTAATCTAACTCGCAGAAAAAAAAAATCTGAATAACATGAAGCGACATGAACCAAAGAACCAATACTTTGAACAACTACATTTCACAAAATGCTTGACAAATTATGAGATGAAATACCAGAAAACAAAAATTGGAGGATACATTGTCCAAAATATTGTGCCTAAAAAAAATTACTAAAGATACAAGCCTGTGTACACTGCCCAACAAGAAAATTACAGCACAACTACTAACAGAACCACCGCCGGCACAAAACCGCGAAAAGAAAAAAAAAAAACAGTATGAAAGTTTTACTGACAAGAGAAACGTCCATCTCCTTCGATCTCTTCCCTCGCTGGATAACGAAAAATTGAACAGCGCATGAAACATCACATTAACTTTGACAATCATTCTTCAGACTTGAGCTATCTGCTGTTTCAATGTCTGCAACAACTTTAGTTTGGATTCACAGATCCGTAGAAACTCAGACAGCACCGTACATTTCCCAGTTATCAGCCTTCGTGCGACATCAGTTGGACTCCAAGACTTCAATGCTCGGGAGATTCTATCACCGACCGCTGTGTCATTTACGGATGAGATATAAGCTTCTAAAATATGGAAAACTTGCCCAGGGCCTTCGTTCTGTCCTTTATTCTGCAAAGAGGAGAGTAATGTCTCCATGTTGGTGTGTAACCCTTCAGCTGAAAGTTGGCGGCAAGGATCATGTTTCATGTTTTGTTTCAGTTTGAATGTGAGCTATTGGATCATAATCCACATGGTAGATTAATCATGTATCTAGTCTAAGTAATAGAATAAGACAAGTGGCATAATCTCATAGGATGATAACAATGAATGATTAAGATTGTATTGCATGTTGGTGAGTGAAGGATCTCCCTTCCTTTCCTCATATAATGGTTAAAAATGTATTTTGTGTGCAGAGTATGAAATTGGAAGAGTCATTGTTTTGCATCATCTTCTCTCTAAAACTCTCTCCACCATTGAAGAGAATCTCCATTGAAATACATATCAAAACACACAAACACTAACATGGCCTAAGAGCCTGGTTTCACTGTCTAAACTGGGCGTGAAATCTGTGAGTGCGATTGAGCTACATCTTTGAGCTTCAATCGAATCTGGAAATTGTGATTTCTTGTATCCAAGTCTAATATGGCTGGATCTGGTAATGTCGAGCTTAGAGTTCCAATGTTCAATGGAGAAAATTACGAGTTATGGATTATTCGAATGAAAATCATTCTGAAATCTCATGGTTTGTGGGAGTTGGTTGAAAATGGGTTTGAACCTCCATATCTGAAGTCTAAGGAAGCTACGGTCGACGAGACGAAGAAGGATACGTCAAGTGAAGTGTCATTCAGTGAAATTCTGATGAAGGATGCTCGTGCGCTTGGGATGATTCAAGGCGCAGTCTCGGACCAAATCTTTCCCAGAATCGCGAATGAAGAGACATCCAAATGAGCTTGAGATGTTCTAAAGGGTGAATTACGAGGTGATAAACAAGTAAGAAATGTTAAATTTGCAAGGGTTAAGTAAAGATTTTGAATATACTCGTATGAAGGATAGTGAATCATTATCTGTATATCTCTCTCGATTGTTTGATATCATTAATCAAATGAAAAGTTATGGAGAAGAATTATCTAGGGAGAGAATTGTGCAGAAATTACTGATTAGTCTTCCAAAAACATATGATGCAATCTGTTCTGTGATTGAGCATTCTAGAGATCTTGAAATTATTGAGGTTCAAGAAGTTGTGGCTTCTTTAAAAGGATTCGAGCAGAGGCTTGATTTACATACTGAGTCTTCGACTGAGAGAGCATTTGCAAGTTTAAATGCAGCATCTAAGGGTGCCAAAAGTGGTGGATTTTCTGGGAATCAGAGGTCTCAAGAGAATTGGAAGTCAAGGGGAAAAGGTTGGGATCATAAACCAAACTTTGTTCAGAAGCAGAATAACACTCAAAGAAGCTGGGATCACAAACCCAATTATTCTCAGAGACAAAATAATACTAAAAGGAATTGGGATCATAGGCCTAATTATGTTAAGAAGCAAAACAACTTTCAGAGTGATTGTAAATGGTGTGACAGGTTTCACTATGGGAAATGTTGGTATGAAGGTAAACCAGAATGCACAGGCTATGGTAAGCCAGGTCATTCTGTGAAAGATTGTCATGAGAATAAAGGAGTGCAGAAAGTTAATTATGTAAAGCAGATGGGAGATACAGGATCATTGTTTTATGCCTGTAATGCAGTGACGGATGTGAAAGTCAATAACTCATGGTACATTGATAATGGTTGTAGTAACCACATGACAGGAGATGAAAGATTGATGTTCAATGTTCAGAGAAATTTGACTTCCAAAGTAAAGATGGTAACTGGAGAAATTTGTCAAGTTGCAGGAAAGGGAACCTTGGTGATTGAGACTAAATTGGGAAGAAAACATATACAAGAAGTAATGCTTGTTCCTGGACTTGAGGAAAGCCTTCTCAGTGTATGACAAATGATGGAAAACGGTTATTATTTGTTGTTTGGAGGAGATGTAGTTAATATTTTTGATGGTTGGTCATTGGATAATTTAGTGAGGGTGCATATGACCAACAATAGATGTTTTCCTTTGACAATGTTGCCTGCAACACAGTATGCACTAAGAGCATGTGTCACACATTGCTCTCAGATATGGCATAAGATTGGGTCATTTGAATGAAAGAAGTCTCAAGGTACTTGAAGAACATGATCTGGTGCATGGATTGCCTAAATTAGAAATGTCATCAAGTGTGTGTGAAGGTTGCATATTGGGCAAACAACATAGGGACTCATTCTCTTCTCAATCAACTTGGAGAGCTAAAGATCCACTAGAGTTGATTCATACATATATTTGTGGTCCAATGCAAGTAGAGTCTCATTCTGGAAACAAGTACTTCTTGTTGTTTACAGATGACTGCACAAGGATGTCATGGGTGTACTTTCTGAGAAACAAGTCTGATGCATTTGAATGTTTCAAAAAGTTCAAGGCCATGACTGAGTTACAATGTGGATATAAGGTTAAATGTCTCAGAAATGATAACAAAAATAATTATAACCTTTGGATTGTGGGGAGGAAACAAGGGATTAATCCTGTGCTTTTATCTGGGCTATCATGTTGGAGTGAGAATGGTGAGTTGAGAATAATTGGGGACTATATTTCCTCTCTTGATTTTTGTTGTACTGCTTCTGTGTTAGTGGTACAATAGCAGACTTTGAGAGGGCAAGGGTCAGATAATACAAGTGGAAGGTTTGCATGTAACCCTAGCCCTACTTAGAAGGTGAAGGATTTGTTAATTTCATGGTGTTGATAACTAGGGTTTGATATTTCAGAAACTAGATGTGTATTTATTATTAGCTAGGTTCATGCTTTGAAAAATGGCATTTGAAAGAGAAATAGGGACCAGCTGAGGTAGAATTGAGTTTAGGTAGGTGAATAAAACTAGTACTCATTTGAATGCATACTTTGTGATGTATCATATGTTAATTACATGTACAGATACTTCATATCATGTACTCATTGCAACTCTCCTACAAAGTTAATCCTCTTCCCTACAAACAAAAACTCTTGTTAGCACTCGATAAGTCATATCTGACACTCATTTCCTATGAAAACATAATGGAAGAACTACACTTTAATGATCGTATCATTAGTTTATTAGAGTAAACAACAACAACAATCAAGTTTTATTTCATTAAGTGGGGTCGATTGTATAAATTCTAGAATGTCCATTACTCTTGGTTTTGCGTCAAGTCTTCTTTTAGCTCCAGTACTTCATATCTTTCTTATAGTTTCTTTCCAAGTTTTCATAGGTCTTTCTTTACCTATTTTCCCCTCTGAGGCTCTATCTCGTTGTCGTATCGTATAACTGAATCATCTGTAAGTCTTTGGTTCACATGTCCAAACCACCTTAACCGATTTTCTCTCATCTTATCTTCAATTGTAGCCACTAATTTTTATGCTACACTAATTTTCTGCACATGTTGCTTTTTGACCACCTAACATTCCATGTCATAAAGCATTGCCGTCTTATAAAACTTTTCCTTGAGCTTTAGTGGCACACAACAATCTCACAACACGTTCGATAAAGAAAAAGAAAGAATGCGTCAGGTAGTCAACAGGCGACCCTTTATGCTTCGTGTCGAATCCCAATAATATGAGTCATTATTTTGAATCGATAACTAATTTTTACTGCAATTAAAAAAGACATCCAAATGAAACCATGAACATTATGATGGAAGTCATCACGTATTTTTTTAAGCGATATTGGGAGGAAGTATACTCAAATACCACACCTCTTACAAACAAATAACAATAATAATAAATTTAGATTCTGAATGTGCTGATCAAATCTTGGGGTGAATAATTATACAAATTGTCTAGATTTGCTAATATTGGGCATATGTTTACCAATTCCAAGGTACAGTTACAAATCATAACAAAGAAACTGCTTTTGATTAGGGGTGGGCACTTAGAACCGAAAATCGAAATCGAAACCGAAACACGAACCAAATCGAACAACACTGAACGGTTTGGTTTTGTGGTTTTGAAATGGTTTCGGTTTTGGCTTTTGAAAACCGCACCAAAACCAAACCACACCACAAATATTAATAAACATTTAATTAAATGTCCATATTAGATTTCATGTTTTAATTGGTTGTTTGTTAGGATCCATACATTTAGTATGGAGTCAAGCACACTAGAATATCATCATTCATCACTTTCTTTCGTTCATTAACTCGAAGGACCATTGTTATTTTATACCATCACACACACACACACACATATATGTACAAGGGTGGACTAAGCTTGTTATCAAGAGTCGAACAATGATCTAATGAAGTCCACTCATTTGAAGCATGATATCACATATTCTAGTATGAAAGTTTCGCTCACCTTTACTGAATTCAAAGTTATTCAACTTGCTTTATGTTATACCTTGTATGGGACACCCTTTTGTTGCACAAACATATTTTAACATCACAACTGCATGCAACATGCTAATTGTTTACATAACAAATGTCTTTTTCCTATTGCTAAGAAATGCTTATATATATGTTAAATTGCAAATTGTACATTTTTTCTTAAAAACCAAACCGAAACCGTTTGAAACCGCACCAAACCTATCCAAACGGTTTGGTTTCATTTCGGTTTTAACTTCAAAACCGCACCGAACCAAATTGTAAAAAATTTCGATTTCAGTTTTGGTTTCACTCAAACCCGCACTGAACCAAACCGTGCCCACCCCTACTTTTGATTGAAGTCCTAAGCCCAAATCTCTCACTTTCTTTGTAACGACCCGTCTCCAAAAATTATGACTTTTATAATTTTAAAAATGTAAAATTACAAAAAATGCCCTTCGAGGCAAAGACGTTGACTTTTGTTGACCACCTTATTGTGTCACGTAAGAATCATTTTCTTGATGTACTTGGATAGTACTCGTCGCTATGAACGTGTGGGCGCAAACGGAACGTGATTTGGAGTTATAACGAAAGAGATACTAACGTTTAAAGTTGGGGGCATTTTTACGTAGGTATCATTTCCTTGTTCATATCTTTTCTTAGTAATCCTTCCATATTATTCTGGTTTAGTTGTATGCTCTGAACATATATGCTATTCGTATGCATGTTTCAAATGGCTTCGTCACCCTCAGGTGTCGACTAGCATGTGTCTATCTTGATATCCCAAATATCAGGGTTGGGGTGTTTCAGTTTGGGGCGTGTTAGGGGGAAGCGACGTCATCCTCACTAGTTCGAGCAATTCTCGAGCAATAAAATATGTGAGTGGACCCCTTCATAACTTATATATTTTTACAAAATATAGCCTAGCATGCATTTCATATTTCATGCATTTAATATGTTTTATATTATGTTTTCCGGGTTTCTATCATTATGGTTTATATAGAATTCATGATTTAATTAAATTTCTTTACGAAATATTTATAATTTATAGAATTCACATTTAATAATGGTTATGAATTATTGGAATTTTATATATGAAACTCCTTGGACTTACAAATATGTTTTATATACGATTTATGAATTGAGATTTCGAACCCTGGAGTTTTGGTGATTTGGCTGGAGATTTTGAGATGTTTTGGTACTTACGTAGTGGGTTATCAAACAACACATCTGCACACCACGGGTATTATGTCTATGGCCATAGGACACATATGATGAAGGAGTGAGATATGATATATTATATACCCCTAGCTTCATCGTTGAAAGCGGTATTGGACAACTTCACTAGCTACGGCTAGTGTCGATGTGGATGTTATGCTATTTGATTCAGCTTCACCTGCGGGTGATGGACAGGTTATTCAGCTTCACCTTCGGGTGATGGACATGTTATACAGCTTCACCTTCAGGTGATGGACAGGTACTGCCTTCGGGTGACTATGGTACCCATAGTTGAGTACAACACGAATATGATTTACGATGTTTCATAAATGTTTTACATTGCAAGCTAGGGTTTTTCATAAAACTATATGTAGTACCATATGCATGTTTTCAAAACAGGGGGTTAGTATGTTCATAAAGAAAATGGTTTTCCTATTACTAGTATTATTATTATAACTTTGGTCCACTCACCTTTTCTATTTTTAAGCCCGGCGTCAGGGCTTTATGGCATAGATATCCTCGAGTCTTCTCAACGTATGTGATAGGGATTTTACTTCATGTGAATGGGATAAAAACTCCTATAATACTTGCAAAAATCACAAGGTGGTTGTAGTATAAACGGATCTCGCAATGTCATTTTCCACAGGGATTATTAAATAATTCGAAACAAACCAAATTTCAATTAATTATTGTAAAGTAGAAATTGAGATGATTGATTTTATAACCTACTTAAAATAAAAACTAAATTATTTAATTAAAATAAACAATCTGCAGTATTAGAACTGGAGGGAAAAGAAAACAGTTTTGGGAGAAATCAAATTAAGAAAGCACTAGGGTTCCACCATCACCTAGCAATCCTATGAATTTTTACCAATTACTTATGATCTACACATGCCACTTTGAAGGTTAGATTTTCCTAATTCATATTCTACTTGGAACCTCCAACATAGAACATATATCTAACATGTAACCCGTCCGGATGTTCGGATCAAATTTGAACATGAAAGACTCATTATGCTTTATGAAAACCCTTTGAAAAACCATGCAACCCTTAAGACGTGATGTTCATCCTAAGTGAAATTACAATTATTAATCACAAGAAACCAGCATCAATTTCAGGGAACCTTCCGACCAAAATTGCATCGAATTACTTTTCTAAAGATCCTAATGGTGATCAGGCATTAAGACAATTAGATAGTTTTTATCATGGTGATTAACAATTCAAAGTATGCATGCAATCAATCATAAGCAATTAAATAAAAATCACATATTCATACTAAGGCTCAAGGCTTCGCCCTAGCAAAAGGAATTAGTTACGCATATTCATAATTGAAATCATAGAAAATGTTATTAAGAAAAGGATTGAAAACACCTTCAAGTAGAAAATCTCCAAAACCTTAGCAATCCTCCAACTAGAATTACTCCAAAATTCGTCCATTTGGTCATGTGTTTCTCCAGAGGAAATTGAAAGTCCTATATTGAAAATACAATTCGAAGTATCAAAATTCTTCCAAAATATTAACCAAAATATACTAAGATTAGGGTAAAAATATATAATATAAAATCTACTCATCAGTATGTATCATCCCTTTATTCGCATCTTTTCCTAGTAATTCATTCATATGATTCTTAGCTAGTTGTATACTCTGAACACATTCATGTTTTAGTATAATCGTTGTAATTGCATATATTTTAGTTATATGCGTGTTTTAAATAGCTTCGCCACCATCGGGTGTCAGCCAGCATGTGCCTACCTTGGTATATGGGGATATCGGGGTTGGGGTGTGTCAGTTTGGTATCAAAGCATGTTTTATTCAGAGCATACTTAGGATGTTCTCATATTCTAGCAGTGTATCAATCTTGATATCATTTGGATGTCATGGCTTCCGTTTGCTGATGTCATTCGGCACGGTTGTACAATCCTCATTCAGCATGAATAGTTACATCTTATTAGAAGCATTAGAAGTTCGTGTCGGGATTGTGCCTCAATTTAGACGTAATTGATTGAATGATGACTTTCAACATCAGACTGATACCCTGCAATATGCTTTCCTTAGGAATGGCAGGCAGAGTCGGTTTTTCATATAGGTGACGTGAAATAGAGAAAACTAGTGGGATTAAGTCGAGTTGGGATCATTTGAAGATCGGAGCCTGTGATGGTACTTTGCGACCTGTGGTCCTTTAGAATGGCAAGCAAAGTTATACCTGTTGGGAGATTACTCAAAATACCCGAAGTTCGTGTTGGAGAAAAATTAAGAAAACATCAATTATAGACCGAATCAGTTTTCCTGGGGTTTGTTATTTTCACTAAGGGAATTTATGTGGACCCTTCGAAAAATCTTCTCAGTAATTGTCTTAGTAATAACATCCTTGTCTACTCCGACTATGAGGTTAGTTATTAGACATCTACAACCAGCTTTATACAAATTCCTCAAAGGTCGACCCTGTTTAGACTCGAATCTTTCTTGAGAGATGTGAGCATAACAGAGATTGTTTTTATCAAATTCAATATTGTGATTGTGGAAATCAAGAACCCTCTCGAGTTTCGTGAATTATGAATTATCATCGGACTTGTTGACTCCTATCGACAGTTGTCAACGATTCTTTGACTATATCCGTATTTCCATTTTTCTGTGGCTAGGAAACCATTTAGTTTTGTTTGAGATGTTGCCTCACCCTACATTGTTCTTAAACTCTTCAGCGACATCAATGAATTTTGAATTCGACAGTGGTGTTTTACTGAAGGTATAGTTGTGCACTGATGCAGCATATCGGGTGACACATTTACCTTTTGACGGTTGAGACCACATGATGTAAACCGTCCTATCTATGACCTTGAGTCATCTGCCATCATCTTGGTTTGGAAAATTGATGACACATCTTCGTGGAGGAATGGATCAGATCGTTATTAACCTTGCACATTTCTCGGTTAGCTTCACTCGAAAATAGCTAAGTCTCGGGGAGCAGTGATGGTTAGGATTTACCGATGTCTACGATTGTACCATCGCGTGCCACCCTGATTATGCAATTGTAGTTACTGACAACGCAGTATAAAAACACATATATACCGAGTACTTGTGGTGATGTTACTTTTGATCATTGAGAAACTTTGTTAGTTAAGTTTCAAGTTCGACTTTTCTACATTGGTCTGAGTCGACCAAGGAATTGTTTAGTCCTTTAATATAATTCTTCATTTTTGGAATTGTCAGACTCTCCGACGTCTTGGTTGCGTCGGCTTTGTTCGTACCCTTAGTTTCACCCCCTAGCACTTAAAGATATCTTAGTTAACCTTGGGTTACTTTTCTGTTCTCCGTATCATTTTTGAAATACACAGACTGTCCAGGAGGACCACTTAGACATCGAAACTTTTAGTGAGATCATCAGTCCTTGAATCACCAAATCAACATCCTATCGAGCGAATCTTCACCATTGGTAATTTGACATTTCTGGAGTTACCATTGTAACGAAATTCAGTAAATCTTGGTTCAAGGAAAATCTAACATTCCGTCCATTAGCTTCATTTGACCATCGTTCAAGTTGAGCTATTATTCGACCATTTCAATTACTATCATGTAATCAAGTTAAGAAGTTACACGCATTCAAGTAGCAGAGTTGTATATTCACTCTAGATATCTTGTACTCTGGATTGATGAACTTGTTTTGACCCTCATTCTTGAGTGTTATTTTAGTCTTTTCGACATGGTTTCTCGCTAATTTAGTGAGGAATTCGAGATAGATCGATTTGGCAGATGCGTTCGCCCAGTTTCATATCGAGGCTAGAAGGAACAATTAGAGCATAATCTTCTCACGAGTTTACCAGACTTACCAAGAAGAGTTTCAAGTGGTCTTGAAGATTGAGCAATAGTTCAGTATGGATTTGGTGAAGGTATATAAATGTAGGTTTTGAGCTTGGCGATTGTGGCGTTAATTGCCATGTGTGACTTGAGATTACAACTGTCACTCGAATGATGTGGTAAGAGATATGGTTACTCTAATTCAAGCTTTCAGATCTTGTACTCCTCGATTTAAAGTGCGACCATAGTGGATAGTCATGAAGGAAAAACTTTACGATATGTGTTCGCCTTTACGCATATTTCGACTATTTCACTCCAGGACTTAATGTTCGTGGGTATGTGGATGTGAAAGCATTTCTAGCAGCTCTGTGTGGTGCGCTTTGGAGTAGTACCTCACATATGGGGCACATGGTAATTTTGGTACCATGGGTACCATCAGGAATGACACGTCCCGACCCTGATGTTCTAAATTGTCACATCCCGGCTCGGGCCCCTACCACATCCCTGACTCGACTCCGCCGTAGCACGATATTGTCCGCTTTGGGCCCCGGCCACACCCTCACGGTTTTTGTTTTTGGGAACTCACACGAAAACTTCCCAATGGGTCACCTATCATGGGATTGCTCTCGCGCGAACTCGCTTAACTTTGGAGTTCCAATGGAACCCGAAGCCAGTGAGCTCCCAAAAGGCCTCGTGCTAGATGGGAATATATATATAAGGGTTAATTTTATTTTTAGGTTGCAGGAAAATACGGTGTATAATCTTGGGAGTGCTTTTGATTCTACTCTCATCTCTACTATGAATATAGGTTACAACCCTGCCCTGTGTAATCCAAAAGCTAAAATCACACCCTCTCAATCTGAACTTCATCGTAGATGTACTCTTTTTCCCTCTTAATTGCTTCTTAGGGCTTCTCTGTTTTGATTTTTATCATCCAATTTGTTAAATTTATTGTTAATTTCAGGGTACTACCAGTTTTCTGCTGACTCTGATTCCACACTTCAGAAATGTATGCCTCTAATTTATGATAAATTTTGCCAATTTGCTTCTCTTGATTTGGAAAGGTATGACTCCAATGACTTTGTTTTCCAAAGCCATCGTAGCATCTGCATCCCCAGTTGTAGAACAAAAGCTAATCCAATTGCTAATCTTAGCATCTGCATCACCAATTCACCATTATCTTTTTATTTTGAGAGCATTTATCGAATAGAGGGCAACTACACAGTTTTATATCTTCGATATACAAGTATCAATGCTGATTTCTTTTGTTTACTAAATACATGCATAATCTGTGGTTCGTTTGAACTTTGATATATGTCAAACTTATAATAAAGGTATAGAGCCGGAGGTGACGATGTGGTGGAAAAGTAAGTCTTCTTACTTTCCGCTCTAGCTCATAGTACATAATCTTTCCAACTTTGACTAGAATTATATCCACAACTCATTTGCTGGCTACAAGGACTGGATATAGAATAATGGTTTAATAATGGTTTTAGAATGGTAAATGATCGCAGAAGCAACATGGAATTCAATAGTTGATATTTTGACTATAATTACTTTTTGACACTTATGTATTAAAAAAATAGCATCCTATTATATATCTGTTACTATGAGTTTAATTTCTTTCAAATTCTTCCATAAAGTGTGAGATTTTCTATTTTGTATTATCATCATTGCTAGCCGGTAATTTGAGATCCTTTTTCTTTTAGTTAAGAAAATATATTTTCGCAAAAGGCCTTTGAGATAGGTTTTTTTTTTTCTTTTCTTTTTCTTTTTATCTAATTTATCCTTCTAGATGATTTAGTTTATTGGGATAATTTATTAGGATACCAGCATATAAATAACTTAGTTTATTGGAATTTGCTATGTGGTGTTGCTTTTAAGCAAATTAAGTACAATAAAGTGCAATCGTGGCTTCTTCTTGCTCTGTGTTTTGTTTATTGGGTACCTATTTGTGGTTTTCCTATAGGTCTCTAATGTGAAATAGAAAGATGTTGGCGGTCTTGAGGATGTGAAGAAATCGATTCTGGATACTGTTTTTGTAGAATACTCATCTTGAGTTGTTGAATGTTTAAGAATAAGTTGTAGCAAATTGTAAAATAATTGCTTGCCACTGGTAGCTTCTTAAGCGGAAGATCCTATTCAATTCCTTATCTCATTGTTGGATTTTCCATTCAATTCCTTATCTTACTGCTGTATTTTTCATGGAGTTTGGGTGCACAATTACAAGGAGAGAAAGAGAGGGTGGGTGCAGTTATTTTCTTTTTCTATATGCTTCCTTTCCCAATTTGCTTATCTGGTTGTTGGCGTTCGTCTTCCTCCTCAAGGTAAGGACTTTTCAATCAATTTCTGAAGATTTAATATGGGTTTTATTGTTTTAGTTCGAACATTCACGGATCTATGAGCAATAATTTCAGATCTAATGGTTTTGTTTTCGAATTTTCCTAGCTGTGTAGTTCACCATTTTTTTTGCTTCTGAATCTGAAAAATGGATTGAAATTTTTTATTTTATTTTATTGCTGTAGACATAACCCAGAATTTTTTTTTTTTTTTTTCATTTGGTGAATTGGGTTTGGTTGTTGTACATTTTTCTCTCTGCATCTACACAACGTTGTTCTACCATGCCTGGGTTTCGAAGTTCCAAATCCAATTTAATGCTTCATCAACTCCACTTAAAGGTTCCTGCATCTCTTTCTCTCCTCAAATTCTTGGCCAATAATTTTATAAGCTTCAGGGAAATTATGCTAGAAGTGCTTAAGCTTTCTATCTGTTTATTTATTTTAACTTTTGTTTTAGTTGTTTTTAGAATGAGTACAATTGAATTGCTTGCCTATTATTTGGTAAAAGTGCTTTTCTGTGAATAATCATTTGTTAAATATGCTTTTGCATTTGAAGATTGACATTCATGTTGCAAGAATTAAGTTGTGATAGATTATTCTGTAGTCCAACTGCGAATGTGTTGATGAAGAGCTGGAACATGTATACACCTACTTTTAACAACTCTGATTGTTAGGGTTTTCTGGTTTGTTAATTTGGTATTTCCTAAATCTTCACTGTTAGGTTGAGGGGAAAATTGCAAGTTATAAGGTGTAAATTGTATAGATTTTTTGTCAATTTTATTCTTCATTCTGAAATTTGTGTAATTGGTTGGCTCAAATCTTTATTTGATCTAACCATTCCAATTTGGCTAATTTGGTTTTTAATTTTTGTTTAGGTTTGATTATATTGGGGTTGAGTTTTAAAGTGAGGGTGCAGGGGAACAAGGGTGCATGATGTGCGCGTAGGGTGCAGGGGTTTCAGGGGCGGTAGGGGGTGGGGTGTGCCTGTGAATTGCAGAGCTGCTCAGCTCTTCCTCTATAAGATGAGTTTCATCCCTGCCTTAATTCACTTAAATCCTGTGATTTCATGCCTTTTTTGGTTCTGATTTCAGATGGTGGTTTCAATTTTTGCTTTGTTCTGCCTCTAGACAGCTGCCACCACCACTTTGTCCAAATCTGATGGCTCAGGCTGTAGCATCTGCGTGAATCTCCCCGTACAATTGGACTCCGCGATGTTTTCCAAATAAACTCCAAACCCCAAAGGGTGCGGCCGAAAAGTTAAAATCTGAGACAATCAAATCCAATCCAGGGAAGAGATTGGATAGCTTCTGAGGTGTGGCTATGATATGTGCCGACAATTCCAAATGGAGATGATGCTGAAGAAGATTGTAAGTCAAGCCTACTCACTAAATACCTTAGCAATTTTAGTGACTGGTCTGAGCTCACCCTATATATAAGAAGACATATTGAAATAATGATAAGAATATGGTAATTCACAAATGATTAGGATTGTGTGAATGTTAGTTTAAAATGAAGTTTCTTTGTTAGAATTAAAAACCATGCACGGTGGATTTTTATAGGTGTCATGAAATTTTTATACCAGTTTTATTTTATGGGAATTAAGTGCAGAGCGGTTTGGGATATCCGTGCAGCTCACATAAGAAGAGAATCACAACTTTTGGGCTGAGAGGTAACTGGGATTTGTTCTTCTGGATCAGTTTTAAGGTTAGGTTTTTTTTTTTTTTTTTTTTTTTTTTTTTTTTTTTTTTTTTTTTTTTTTTTTTTTTTCGCTTTCGGTTGTTCTGGCAAGTTTTGTTGTAGTGTGTGTGTCCATCATCATGTCATTGGAATCATATGTTTGAATTTGGATTTGGAATGGTTTTTCTGATGTTTGTATTTTTTGTATATTATAATTCAGTGCAGGTTTGCGTTGGATATAGGATAGTCATGGATCGGTTCAAAGCTTGGCTAATGATAGTTTCAGATCTTGATCATACAATGGTAGGTTCTGTAACTGGTTTTGTCATCATAGGTTCTGTAATTTGAATAATATAAATTAGGGTTTTTCGGTTAGTGTCCAAAGGATGATTCTTTTTGTTATCATGCATATTTAAGCTGTAAACATCTGAAAAGCTGCTTAATTGAAGTGAAATTTCCAGTTTTTGAGCCCGATTTCAAGTCTTGAACTTTGAATTTGGCTATATGTAGATCAGCTGAAGCTATCTACATCATAGTTTAAAGTATTTGTATTGGTAATTATGTGTTTAAGTTGCGCAACTTGAGTTGCCCCAATATCTTTTGTGTGCAATTTGGTTTAGAAATGTGGGTTTTGATGTTTTGGCAGGCATTGGAAAAAAAAATAGAAATTGGTTTTCGCTCAATGCATAGTTAATCTTAAAATACGGTTTATTAAATTGGGTTCATGAATTATGGGTGCTAGCAAATTAGCGACATCGACTCCTATAACGAAGAGGTTGATGAGAGACTACAAGAGGCTGCAACACTACGCAAAAAGGCTGTTGATGCTGCTGGTTTTTTTCTGTAATCGATTTAGGAGTTCCTATTGTATTCTTAAGCATAACGTCTGACTGCCAATGACATATTCTATTGCTTTCTACAGCTGCCAATGCCTAAACCTCCAACAAAATGGAAACTTTTGCCAAAACAAAAGGTCAATCATTACTGCAGAAGCTGAACAATACTTTTCCTCTGTTTTTTTTTTTTCCTTTCATCTTCCCCCTTCAAGGCTTTGTTTTGGTTCTCATATGTGGCCATTTGGTCGTTGAGAAATGTAGTTGGATTTAAGATTTTGAGAAATTGGACCATTTTAAGGAAAATATCAGAATTTGGGATTGGACATGTCAAGTTGTTATAAGAAAAGTCATAGGTATCCACGGACGTGATTGCTATCCATTTGAATTTTGTTACAATAGTTTCCCTTTAGCATAATTGTTGCACTGAATTTGTTTTTTGATGATTCAATTTGGGTTTGAAAAAATGCTGACTGGTTGAAATTTGAAATTCTGTTAATTTTCCATTCAGGTTGAACAAAAATATCTCCAGGATCCCCATTTTATTAATTGTGTTGTTAAGGTAAATTTTCTTTATCCCTCTTGCAGATTAATTTTCGATGGATTATGTCTTCTGAGTAGTATACAAGCTGGACATTGTATCTTTGAGAAAGTTTATGGTGTATAGTTTCTGCATAAGTTTATTTTGGGAGTGGTATAGAACTGTATATGGAGCTTTGTGGTGGAAATTTTATGATTTTATGTATGGTGGATGAATTGAATTTGGAAGGAAAGCAACTCAATGGTTGTCTTTTTCTTTTTTATTTATTGCGAATGGCAGATTTTAACTATGACTGTCATTGAAGATTTATCTTGAATCTGGACAGGTTTTTTTCAATTGTTATTTACGAAGGTTGTGACTCTTCATGTTGGCACCAAAATAAAGTTTGTAGAAGGTTGTTGACTGACGATAAAAGGTAGCTTGCAATTTTTTTTTTAATGAGTCTTATTAAATGCATTTGAGTACCACATAAATTTACTCAATTATTTTAGCAATTAGGAAAATCACTCTCTTCACTAAAACTGTTATTCATTTACATTAACAACTTTTATTTTTCCAAATTGTAACAGAGAAGTATGCATATCATGAAAAATAAAAGATGGAAGTTCTGAAGTGACGACCAAGAAATGAGACTTAAGTTTGAGTTTTGAATTGGAGTTCTCATGCAAGAAGAAAGGTCACTTGAGTTTTGAGTTCCTATATATTTTCATTGTTTCATTTATACATCTTTTGGAGGATTGGAGGGGATTGGGAGGCAGATGAGTGAGACTTCCGATGGTTACACAGAAATAAATGGTCTCTCGCATAATTAGGAAGCAATTGCTAAGTGAGGATTCTCCGTTTCGCTTTGGATAGAAAATAATTAAGTGAAAATGCATTGATTTGGTTTTAATTTTCCTAATTTCTTCAACATGTGTATTAAACTAAAGCGAAATGCTTATTTCGGCGTATGTATTGTATATTAAACTCAACTAAATGGAAATGTTCATTACATTGCATGTGGTGTGTACTTTGTATTTTACAGACCTATGCTTTATGTGCTAATGTTTTATTGTTGTTGGTGTAAGAATTTATATTAAGTACTAGCAAACATAGTGTTTTTGCTCTTGCAAGGAAATTGTCTTTTTTCCCCAGTACTTTTACAAGGATTTAGAATGGAAGTGTGTTGCAAATTGTTCTGTTTAATGGAAATATAGACATGCAGGATGGAACCGATCACATATCCCTCTGTTCATTCATTATTATGTTGAATTTATTTAGGTAAATGTTTCTTATTCATCCAGTTACCATTAGTACACTGACTTCCCGCAGCATAGTGCGGGCTTATTTTCTAGTACATAATAAACCTAAGAATGCCAAGATAACAGCAAATCTTGCAATTTCAATGGTGAAATCCAACTGCTAGTGCGATCTTCTGCTGGTAATTTAGCATCGGGGTAGATCTGGTGGAGGAGGAATTACAGTCTGTAATGGTCCGATTCCGTTCTCGACTAGACAAGCCATAGCCAAACCCAGGAAGAGATGTGAATCTAAGTGACAGTGCATCAGCCAGACGCCTAATTGGGTCAAGAAGTAGAAAGATATCAAAATAGTGAACAAATATTGGTTAGATGAAAGCTTAGGATACGAGATTAGCATGTTACCTGGATTATCAGCCTTAAATCGTATAGCTACCCATCCCCCTGGAGGTGTTCCGATGGTATTTCTCTGTGGCGGGTCAATGAGGTTGAATCTCGCTGGATCCGTGCTGGGGTTGTAGTTTCCAAATCCTGATCCAATCACGTAGGAATGGCATCCATGAAAATGCATAGGATGGTCATCAATAGTCACAGTACTTGTGTCCTGAAACACTATTTGTACATTAGCACCGTACTTCAACTTGTAGAGCTTAGTTCCACGACAAGGTGACCATAGCCCCCTGGGCACATTTCCGGTGTAATTGAATTGCACAAGAGGAACAGGTGGAAAGTCTGTGGTGAAGACACCGAGGACACCATAGTAGGCAGCTTGCATTGAGGAGTTGGTACTTGGTAATGCAAAGGAAACATTGTTCATGCTAGCTGCAAAGCGGGTGTTGTTTGGTCCTTGACACCAAGGGCTGTTGGGAACCGTGCAGTTATAAGGTCCTAAACCCACAGTGAAAAACAGGTTCTCGTCAATCTGTGTGGGCACTTTGACCTGGGATGGGCTCTTTATCTGAGCAGTGTATGCAGTAGCAGTTGCTGTGTCGTTGTAAGCTGGCAATGTAGGAAATACTGGTGCTAAACCTTGATTTGAAGAAGCAGCATTCTTGTACTCAAGGATAGCAGTGGTGGTGGTATTGTCGAAGGGCACATTCTGGGCAGTCTGATAGGCACGAGCAGCCATGTAGTACCGAGCAGGGCGCTGATCAGCAGTAAGCAGAACATCGGTTGTTTGGCCAGGGCCTATCATGATAACTCTGGTTGTGAGAGGTTCTGTGTAAGATGCGTCAGCGCCCACAACAGTCAGTTGGTGGTTGGCAACGGTAAAGAAGAGTTCTTGATTGAGTGCTGAGTTGATCACTCTCAGGAGAAGTGACTCGCCCGATACAACTGGAATTCGAATGGTTTCTGCATCGCCATTTTTTTATGTCAACACATTATACATCTTTTTATTTTTGCATATTTAAGCAAGTGGAATTTAGCAAACCTTTTTTGGAACATCTGTAAAGATCACCAGGCTGTCCATTAATGGTGTATGCATCAGAGACATTTGGTGCTCCTCCTGTGAAAGCCGCAAGCCTCATGACATCTTGGGGGTTTCGATCAAACCATTCCCCAAGAAGAAGGGGAACTTCTCGTTGTGGCATCGGGAAGGGGTAGGGAGAACCCAATCTAGGGTAGATTATGAGGGCTCCATAGACACTGGCTCTGAGCCATCTGCTGTGAGCATGCCACCACAACGTGCCCTCTTGGTCTGTGATTGTGAACCTGTATGTGTAGGTAGCTCCTGGTTGGATAGGGCACTGTGTGACATATTCGGGTCCTTCTTCCCATGGATTGTTCTGCTGCTTCCGTCCATGCCTGAAAGATACAGAACAGTGAGCATTACATAAACTTGGCACGGACACTAGACAAACATTAAGCCGTATATAAACCACGATTTAGTTTATTAGCAGCGGAAAATTCAAAATCATCGTAAATTATGATGAATGAATACCAGTGGATGGTGACGTTGTATTTCTCTCTGTTGGTAACTTTGACGGCAACGGAATCTCCATTTCTGACTTCCAAAGTTGGTCCTGGGAACTGGCCATTGACTGTGATTCTGCTGTGGGTTCTGCACAGCCTCTTCACCGGCCTCGCTTCAACCTATTTCGAAATTTCCACGCGCAAAACAAAGGCGTTATGAATACGAATACACAAATATGAACATGGACGCGAATACAAAGACGACTATATGTATACGAAATGAATGAATGCGTACGAAGAATTCATGGAAGTGATCTTCTGCAGCAGAGAAGGAAGCTAAGAAAGTAAGGAAGGCAAGAAGGCCAAGCAGAAGGGTAAGTTTGGAGGGCTCCATTGCTTTGTTGGTGGCAGTGTGTGGCTTGTGAGTTTATATATATCTGGATCAAGCGGGAAAGCCGAAAGTTCATTTTCCCAGAGCAACAAAAGCGACAACTAGTTTGATATTTTGACAAATTGCCCTCCTCGGTCAACATTCGACACTTGCGTGGACATATTAGTCCAACCAAACAGGGGACTTGGTTCACCCACTATGCCCTGCTCAGTCAAATGTTAAAAAAATGCTTAGCATCTCAAAGGTTTGGTGACTCTTATTAGTGCCTCAATTTATTAGGGATTGAGAGTTATGCTTTACTTTATGCGAGCAATCGAAAAGCTTCGTGGTCAGAAAATGTTAACTATTAACGGTCAAGTGTACTATTTTGTTGTTGGTGGCGGATCTATGGTACGATTTTTTTACATAATTTTTGACACGTTTTTGTGAGGCTCAATTCATAATGTATTTTAACAATTTGAACCATCTATCTTTTAAAAAAATCATTCATAGATTATACTTGTAAAAATTAGACAAGTTCAAACCTATTAAGACATTCATTTGTAGTGAAGGAAACTGACAAATATTGTTCTACAAAAAAAAAAACTAAACGCTTAATCAAATGGTTATATGATTTCAGATGTTGGTGATTTTTAGTATACGCTATATTTGAGGGAAGACCTAAAAGATAAACGGTTTGGATCGTCAAATACATTACGGGGTATGCCCCGCAAAAACGTGTGTCAAAATTTATGTAAAAAATGCAGTGCCACATATCCACCCCCTTCGTTATATCCTCAGTTTAGACTAAGGCTAATAACGTAACATGTTAAACTGTATAGCAAGACAAGAAAATTTTATTATTGTTCTTATTTTGTACTTCATCATCTCCATCCTTGGCAAGTGAATCACACCACCACTTGTCCATCATCTATCATGCCTCGTGAGCCAAGACATTTTGAAGCATTCTAAATTGACTCATTCACCCAAACTTTTGTGCTATTTCACTTGTGCTTTTCAAAACCTATCAATTATCTAGGGACTGTTAAATGGGGGTTGAATTTTGGTTTGATATGGTAGGGAGGAAGAAGAAAAGAATCTTTTTTTTGTTGCATTACGTATAATCTACGATCGAGTACCTGACAAAATATATATATTTTAACGGGCAAACTTACTAAGAGATGTATTTTACAGACAAAAATGATATTTTTACTATATCTTTCATACAATATTTGTACCACTTTTCTAATGGAGATTGAACTAGACCGGTTAGTGCTTGTCGTTTTCGTGTCAAACTTATTATCTTAACAGATCGTGTCGTGTTAAACCTGTTATTTTAACGGGTTCTAAACAAGTTACCCGATCCGTCAACAAATCGTGCAATAAATTGTCATGTCGAATATCTGATCTGGCAAACGATATCGGGTTCTTAACTACTAACCCGATAACAATCTGAATCGTTAATGGGTTGACCCGAAACTTGTTACTTTGTGTCGTCTCGTGTCAGGTTAACATGTGACGTCGTGCAATAAATTATCAGCCATCATAGAGCCCCATATATTGGTGAGCCCTACTCATATTAGAGAGGTAGTACAAATTTGATATAAAAAATATGGTAAGTATAAAATTACTCTTCTACGAGTGATTAGTCTACAAAACAAACAATTGAAAAGTAAGACTTGTTAGAAAACCAAAAGGATTAAAAATAATAGGGTAAACATCCAATTTAGTCCCTAAATTATCACCTTAATGAAAATTAGGTCTCTAAACTATTTTTTTCAGAAAAATTAGTCCCTAAATTATAAAAATTTGCCAATTACATCCCTAATGTTATATTCGAAGCTACTATATTCAAATTTTCGTCAATTTAAGTCACGTTACTTGCATGTGATACACATTGGAGGGTAGATTGGTAGTTTTTCATAAAGAAATAGTACATGGAGTTAACTTTGGAGGATAAATTGATAGTTTTTCATAAAGAAACAGTGTAAGTTAACTTTTGAGGGTAAATTAGACATTAAATTCGCAACCTATATGAAATGTTAAGGGCTTATAGACAAGAAAATGTTGGTATTACACTCTAAAGTGTATCAAATGACTTAAGTTGACGAAAAAATGGATAAAATAGCTTTGAATATAATAGTATGGATGAAATTAGCAATTTGTAATGAATTTAGGGACTTATTTTACCAAAAAAATTAATTTAGAGACCTAATTTTCACTAAGGTGATAGTCCAGTGACTAAATCGGCATTTCACCCAAAATAATATGTTCGAAAGCAAAGTTAGCTAACGTTACAAAAAAAAAAAAAAAAAAGCCAAGACAGCTGACACTTTCAAAAAAAAAAAAAAAAAAACCAAAAGCCAAGTCAGCTGACACTTTCAAAAAAAAAAAACCAAGTCTGCTGACACTTTCAAAGTGTACGGACATTTGAATGGAAATGATCCTTGCCAAATCCTTTTCTTAAGGATCCTAA